ACATATTCTTATAGATCTGATTTTGCCATTTTAGACTCTGCCATTGTGGCACAGTTCATTATCTTGAATTGGTTATTAAGAAAAGCAGCTATTTTTCATCCTCATGTGAGCATGCTGCAACAGATATCAACCTAAACATGAGGGAGAAGAAGACTGTTCTCTGTGACCCACTTAATTATCATAGCTGTCCATTTTCCTGTACTGATTTAATCAGCAAAAGGATAACCACCCAACCAAACAGAGGAAATAGATGAACTTTTTGCTAGTCAGCTAACTAAGGTATGTAGGAAGCACATCACAATAGTAATGGGGGACTTTAACTACCCTGACATCAACTGGGAGACAAACTCCGCACCAAGTGGAAGATCAAACAGGTTCCTGGCAAACCTAGCAGACAACTTTGTCTCCCAAAAAGTAGAGAAGGGAACTAGGGGATTAGCCATTTTGGATCTAATTCTCACTAACAGAGATGAAATGATAGACGGTGTTGAAGCCATAGGAACCCTGGGAGGAAGTGATCATGCAATATTAGAATTCAACATTATAGAAGCACAACCAATAGAACACAGTCAAACTAGAGTCTTGGACTTCAAGAGAGCTAATTTCAATAAACTTAGAGAGGGCTTGGGAAGGATTCCATGGATGAGAATCCTCAAGGGGAAAACAACTCAAGAAGCTTGGGAAATTTTGAAAAATGAGATAATAAAAGCACAGTCTAGCACAATACCAACAAAGAGGAAAAATAACAGCTCTCAAAAGAAACCAGCATGGCTGCATAAAGAACTCTCTGACAAATTGAAAGATAAAAAGGACAAGTATAGAAAGTGGAAAGAGGGGAACATAACTAAGTCAGAATATCAGCAAATAGCCCGAGCCTGCAAAGATGAAGTGAAGAAAGCCAAGGCTCAAAATGAACTAAGGCTTGCGACCAAAGTCAAAAATAACAAAAAAAGCTTCTTTCAACATGTAAAAAACAAGAAAAAAGTGAAGGAAATGATTGGTCCATTAGTGGGTGGAAGTGGCAAGAAGGTGACAAGCAACAGGGAGAAAGCAGAACTATTTAACTCATTTTTTGCATCTGTCTTTACACAAAGGGAAAAAACAGACCAACCTATCAAAAATAGTGCCATAAAAAACAAAACAGAAACACAAGTTAAGATAGGCAAGAAAATCGTTAGTGAGCACCTGTCCAGCCTAGATGAGTTCAAATCGCCAGGACCAGACGGATTACACCCCAGAGTTCTCAAGGAACTGGCAGATGTGATATCGGAGCCACTGAACTATATTTTTCAAAGATCCTGGAACACAGGGGAACTACCAGAGGACTGGAAAAGAGCTGATGTAGTTCCCATCCTCAAAAAAGGAAAAAAAATGGATCCAGGAAATTACAGACCTATCAGCCTGACCTCAATACCTGGGAAGATCCTGGAAAAGATAATCAAACAACGAATCAACGAACACCTAGAGGCAAACAAAGTCATTACTAAAAGCCAACATGGGTTTGTCAAAAATAGATCATGCCAGACAAATCTTATTGCATTCTTTGACCAAGTGACAAAATTAGTGGATCAGAGGAATGCTGTGGACATAATTTACTTGGACTTCAGTAAGGCATTTGATAAAGTAGATCACAACCTACTACTTGACAAGATAGAAAAATGTGGGGTAGACAGAACCACCACCAGATGGATCCGTAGCTGGCTGACCGGCCGTACTCAGCGAGTGGTCCTCAATGGAACTGCATCTATATGGAGGGAAGTGTGTAGTGGGGTGCCCCAGGGCTCTGTTCTGGGCCCAGTACTCTTCAACATCTTCATCAACGATTTGGATGAAGGGATAGATGGGGAACTCATCAAATTTGCAGATGACACCAAGCTGGCAGGAATAGCCAACACTCCAGAAGACAGGCTTCAGATACAGAAGGATCTGGACAGACTTGAACACTGGGCACTAACTAACAAAATGAAATTCAATGGTGAAAAAAGCAAGGTTCTACATTTAGGCAAGAAAAACCAAATGCACAAGTACAGCATAGGTGGCACCATGCTCAATAGTAGTAACTGTGAGAGGGACCTCGGAGTCCTAGTAGACAATCACTTAAATATGAGCCAGCAGTGTGCTGCAGCTGCCAAAAAGGCCAACACAGTGCTAGGCTGCATTAACAGAGGGATAGAATCAAGATCACGTGAAGTACTAATACCACTCTTCAATGCCTTGGTAAGGCCACACTTGGAATACTGCATCCAGTTTTGGTCACCACGATGTAAAAAAGATGTTGAGACTCTAGAAAGAGTACAGAGAAGGGCAACAAAGATGATTAGGGGACTGGAGGCTAAAACATATAAGGAACGGTTGCGAGAATTGGGTATGTCTAGTTTAACGAAGAGAAGGACAAGGGGGGACATGATAGCAGTATTCCAATATCTCAGGGGCTGCCATAAAGAAGAGGGAATTAAGCTATTTTCCAAAGCACCTGAAGGCAGGACAAGAAGCAACGGGTGGAAACTAATCAAGGAGAGAAGCAACCTAGAACTAAGGAGAAACTTCCTGACAGTGAGAACAATTAATCAGTGGAACAGCTTGCCTCCAGAAGCAGTAAATGCTCCAACACTGGAAGTTTTTAAGAAGAGACTGGACAGCCATTTGTCCGAAATGGTGTAGGGTTTCCTGCCCGAGCAGGGGGTTGGACTAGATGACCTCCAAGGTCCCTTCCAACTTTACTACTATTACTATTACTATAACCATACTCATTATATGTTTAAATAAAGAATATGATCAGACTGTCTGACTAATTTCGGTCAGAATAACCTGCAGATATTTTCTAAAACTAAAAAGGTTGGACCAGGCAAAAATATCTAATATCAATTCAAAATTGAAATCCTGATATTCAATTTCAGACTTTTCTTCTTTTTTTAAATATAATTTTAGGGACTTCTGTGAACAAGTGAAATGGAAGGAAGTGTTTCATTTGGGATATTGCTATGGAGAATAACATTAGTGGTGGATCCAAAGGAATATGAAACATGAACTGTATTTCTTCATTGCACATATGATACATATACTTTTCTCATTCTCTATCAGTTGCATTGACAGAGACTCAAGGATTAGTAGGGACAAGGATCTGTAAATCTTTGAACCAACACTAGAAACTCTGAGGCCATCCAGATTCAATCTCTCATTAGCCCTGGCTAATGCTGAAAATAAAAACCCAATGAAGTCTGAAAGATCACAAATCTCCTCCTTCCTGCCTTAACTGATATGAGATTTTTGTTATCTTTGGACTTCCATACATTCACATGAAGTTATCTGAACCTTGATGTTGCCATCTGAGGCCATATTCTTATCCCCCCTCCCAAGATCTTATTTAGAAGACAAAGAATGGGTCATTCCCTGTGATAGCTCCAGTATTTTAAACTTCTCTATAAAGAACTGAGAGGTATCAGCTCTATCTTGTCCTAGGCCAGTTTTTAGAAGTGCTTCAGAGTTTTTCCTTTTCTGAAGTCCTTTGCAAAAGCAAATATTTCAAAAACATAGATACAACTCCATCTCAGAAGAGAAAGTACAACATTGGCTTTCCCCTCTCTGCCAGCTTCGAAACTCACCCTTTTGATTGTGCTAGAATCCCCGACAAGGAAAAGATCCTGCAAGGAATATGACAGCTCCACCATAAATCTCACAACATGCCTCCTCCTCCTTCTTCCAATCTGAAATTCCATTTCCAGAAGATATTTGGAAACTTTGGAGGATGCCATTACTAGAGAGCTCCAAGCAACACTTAGGGTTCTTCTGCTTGCCATTTTATTTCACTGCTTTTATTGCATTGTTTGTTTATTGTACTGATTTGCTTTACTGCTACAAAATATATTTGTACTACTTTTATAAGGCAAGCCAATTTGTGAAGACATTTTTATAAAAGAAAGTAAATTAAATAGAATATATTCATGCTTCTTATGCAGAAGTTATATAAGACTCCTTGAAGTGGAATTGTAAAAAATCTGCCTTCCCACTAAGGAAGAACAAAGTTATAATTAGCTCTCTCCCCACCACCAGCATCAATGGTCACTTTTATATCCTAATGATCCTCAACTTATAGGTAAGAAGATCAGCATGGTAGGCCCATCACACGTGGAAGCCAATGATGAGACCATTCCTGATCTTAAGGAACAATCTTGCTTTGTAGGTCAGTGAGCCTCAACTTTCCTATTCACCCTACCCGCAGACTCCTGCCTCTCTTTAGTGAATCATAGCTGAGGTTTAAGGATCAATGTTAACAAAAGATGATCATGGTAGAAATGGATCTGGAGTCTCCCTTTCAAGTGTGTATTTTTCTCCACGAATGATTCACATCCATCACGGAAGCCTGACTAGAGGAGAAAGGAGCCCTAAATGAGAGACTGCAGGACAGGAAGCCCTACAGGAGGGCTGGTTCAGCTTCATTAGCACTTATTTTCTGTTCTTAAACAAAGAAGGAGCACCTGACTACACAAATCTAGAAATCAGCCCCTAGAATATTTCTAAAATATGATGCAAACTGCAGAAGAGGTAGGCATGGACATTTCAGAGGGTTAAATGCTGACATGAATGAAGTCTGGTATTCAGGGCATTAGGTTCCCCAATGACTGAAATCCAGACAGCCTCTCTTTCCCATTCCCTTCCTCCCTCCCTCCCTCCCTCCCTTCCTCCTTCCCTCTCTCCCTCACTTTCTTCTTTGAAAACACAGCCCTGTTTGACAAAGGTGTCATGTGATATTAAACATGATCTCAAACCTGCGAACATTGACCTTTGCCCCCTTTTTCAAATCTGAAATGGAGATTTGGCTGGGATACAAATTCCCTTCGGTGAGTCAGGGCTGAAAAGTTTGCATAGCAGTTCTGAATTGAAAACGGTACAATCTTGGGGTCAGCGTAACACAAAACACACGGGCCCCCTAGACATAACACAGACTTTCTTTTTCTAAACACCATTATAAGCTGTTTGTCAGCGCTATCGCCAGCAGATGACTCAAATGTACACCAATTCCTTGCCTGGGGATCACACAGCACCCCATTTCTGACTCCATTCATGGTTTAGCTTTTTAGGGTAGGTTGCAATTGCTGAGTGCGCTTCCAGTAGTCAAGAGTTGGAATGAAGGAAAAGGCTAAAAAATGTGAAAGGAGTAGGTTAGTAAATATTCTGTTAAACTTTTTTTTAATAATGTTGAACTGTAATGAAAGCTGACTTCCTTCCCCCCAACCCGTAGCAAACCACAAAAGTCTTCCTGTTTCATAAAAGGAGGGAGGGAGGGAGGGAGGGAGGGAGGGAGGGAGGGAGAGAGAGAGAGAGAGAGAGAGAGAGAGAGAGAGAGAGAGAGAGAGAGAGATTCTCACATGTTAAGCTTTCTTGGAAATCTACACCTAAGAATATAAAATGTGATTATAACCAGCCATTATTGCACACATGTAATTAGAACAATCTTACTGGCTGGGAAAGTAGGATTGGTTGGGGCACATGGAATGTATAAGAGTGACCCTCCTTTCCCTAACTGTACTACCTATGAAATGGCTTTCTTAAACTCAAAGTCCTGAAACAAAGGAAGCATGCAATGAGTCTGCAATGTGACTGGGTAGTGCAACAGAAAATTAGCTGCCTGTCCAAATATGTATAGAGGGAAAACGAGTGCAATTCACAGAAATATGGACTGCATTCACCCTTTTTCTGTGTTCACAAATTCTCAGACTGGGTGCAAACATATGAAATCACAAAAGCGATTCAATAACCAAGCTTAATATGTTGCATGAATACAACTAGATTGTGTTGTATAAACAAAGCTATAGTGCTGGAAGGAGTGATTTAGCCTCTGTCTGTATGTTTGCTCTTTTATAACCAATATACAGTACAGTATTTAGCAGTTACTGAGAACACCCTCATTGAGAACAGAATCTATGTATAACTCAGTGGATCCTCCATGTTCAGTAGCAGCAACATGGGGAGAAGAACAGAAAAATAATGATACATACATAATGACATCATCACACAAATGCCACAACTTAAATGTAAAACTTAAAATGATGCAAGTGTCTACTGTATATAATTAGTGTAAGTATATAATTACATCATTTCTGTAATATCATAAATGTGTTGTTGTTTTGATGTAATTTGACATAATTGTAATCTGAAGTGGAATGGAGATACTATTGGCAGCAATTTTCTGAATATTAATTTTTGTAATAAATTAATGGGTACACCATTTGTACATTGCAGAATAGAATAGAATAGAATAGAATGGGATGGGACGGGACGGAACAGAATTCTTTATTGACTAAGTGTGATTGTACATACAAGGAATTTGTCTCTGGTGCATAAGCTCTCAGTGTACATACAAACAACAAAGGGATAGGTCACATATCATAGATCATAGTTATAAGCATTAAACATAATATACAACAAGTGATAAACCATAGATACCAATCTATGAATTGATACCAATGAAAAAAATAGATACCAATCTATGAAAAAAAACTATCTTGTTAATATTTTGAAGACTGTGTTAAATTAGATGGATCAGTGATTGAATACAGCAGTAGAGCTTGTTCCTTGTGTTATTTTTAATTTGGTTTCTCCTGATAAGACTAGCACGACCACCTCTCTCTCTGTTCTCTATGGTCCAGAGGGCAGAGAATAGAAGAGTAGACCTTGTTGAGAGCTATTATCAGTACAAATAAGGACTAAAATAGCTGGTCAAATGGTCTGACTGAACACTGGATCAGACCAATAAACTAATTTGTCCACATCCTGTCTCCTACAGTGATCAACTTGATGTAGTAAGGAGGGCATGAATGTTTTAATGTACTCCTGCTCATGTCTCAGTTACTGATATTAAGAGAGCAAATCACCAATTATAGTTCTCTTTTTGCCATTCTTGAAAGTGTTGATTGTTACATGCACTTTTGGTGGATATAAGCTCTGATGTGTTAGAAGGTAGTTTTATGGGATAATTGATATCTAGAAGAGCAGAAAATACAGTATATTTTGCTAATGCCAGAGTTGTAATATCTTTCTGCTCAGAATTAACTGCCAGGAACTTCAGTAAACCCTTCATCATAAACACTGCTGGCCTAATTAACCTTAGACTCCCTATAGCAGCCCAGTTAGTCCACTAACCTATTACATCTTATATTTATGATTCTTCCCAACCATATAAATGTTTTCCTTACTCTTTTTCCTCGTTTCTTCTTGTCTTTTGAGAATAAAAAAGACACTGATTTCAGAAACTGTTCACAACTGTGATTTGATGCATGTTTTACTGCCCAACCTTGTTATACCAGAGATAAATCTGAGAATTTTTCTCTTACCATTCCCAGTTTTTTGGCTGTAATAAACATTGCTGTTTCAATTCAGTACAGTAATATGTATAAATAAAATTATTTGGAGAATATATAATATGTAAAGAATAATGGGAGATTGTGTTTTCTTTCAGCCTTTTGCTTACCACTATTTCTTAGTATAGCTGCATAGATAAAAATTCCTCAAAGAACCCAAAGACCTATAGTGTTTGACCTATTATTGAATGATACAACAGCTTACAAAGCAGATCAGAATTCCATCACATAGCAGACAGAAGTCTCTGGCTAAGATATGATTGCCATGTATGAACTGCAGAATCCTGGATGCTCACTAGAGCAGAGGTCCCCAACCCTCGGTCCATGGACTGGTACCGGGAGGTGTCATGCCAGCAACTGGGCCGCACAAACAAGCAAAGTCTCATCTGTGGGATGCAGGCAGCACACAAAACCATGCACTCTCCAGTCCGTGGAAAAACCTTTCTCCACGGAACCGGTCCCTGCACTAGAGGGCAGCAATTTTAGATCATTTAAGACAGTGGTTCTCAACCTGTGGGTCAGGACCCCATTTGGGGTCGAACGACCATTTCACGGGGGTCACCAAACAATGCAGTCCGCCATTTTTTCCCCCTTTTCCTTAGCTGTGCTACTCCCTTTTATTCTATTGGCTTTTGAAAGCCAATAGAATAGACTCTCTTGAATAGAGTCTAATTCTATTGGCTTTCAAAAGCCAATAGGAATTGTCCAGGCTGTCTCTGCCCTGCTGAACCCGCCAAAAGTCCCATTCTGCAAATGGTGCTGTACCAGTTGAGTAGTCCTCGACTTACGACCGGTTGAGTAGTCCTCGACTTACGACCGGTTGGGGGTCGCGGCATTAAAAAGGTTGAGAACCACTGATTTAAGAGGACTCAGATTCAGAGGATGAGCATCAGCAGCCAGCAAGGGGCTCTTGATCTCAAGAATTGCCCAATTCTATCTTAGAATCCAAGAAGTTTGAACAGCCTAAAGGAAGGATTGTTCTTAAATGCCAAGTTGGTATGTAATAATATCTTCCTTATCCATGATCAACCTGATGTGCATAACAAACACCTGGATAGGCTTGCAAGGGAGAGCTTCCCCTCAAAGTATTGTCTGTCTCAGTTTCAAGTTTGCCATCAGCCACAACTTCAGAGAGGAGCAGTTCCCATCCTAGGAATCTTTGAGGGCTTTTGAAACTCTGCTCCACAGGCATATGGATGTGAAATCGAAGTTGAAATTGGGTTCTAGCGAATAGTTGGGCTTGTTGCTGTTGTGCCGGTCTCCTTGTTGTGCAAGATATCTCTGCTGAGCTACTAAATCTCATTACCTGGTTGGTGGTGAAAGAGCTGAGGCTTATGGTTCTTGGGCACTTCAGTCTCCCCTTGGTGGCACTAGGTTTTGATCAATTGAGGAGTTCACATCCAACATGGTGAACCAAGTAACTGAGAGCACAAAACATACTAGAAGTTACATTCTAGATCTGGTTTTATCTTGAGGCAATTAAGACATGATATGGATGTTGAAAACATTACCATCAATCCATTGCCTGACAAATTACTCTCTAATTACTTTTCATCTTACTGGTGCCACCTTCCCCTGCAGGAAGGACCTATTGCATTAAATTGTTTTGCTCCAGGTGACTAATAGATTCTATTAGAATCCAGGAGCTTGGGGCTTCTCCTGAAGTTCTGATGGGTGCTTTGACAGAAGCCTTGGTCCCAGCCTGTAATAGGCAAGTGATGAGGCCTCGGATAGGACAGCTACCACAAGGACTCTCATTCTAGATTGGTTCTTGGTTTTCTATGCAACTTAGAGAGTTGAAGCACCAGAAGAGACATAGCACCATTGGAGAAAGGTGACAAATGAATCCAATTGAGCATGAGTAAGAAACTATAGGTAGTCTTTGACTTACAACAGTTCATTTAGTGACCATTCAAAGTTGCAACGGCATAGAAAAAAGTGACTTATGACCATTTTTCACACTTACAACTGTTGCAGCATTCCCATAGTCATGTGATTAAAATTTGGCCGCTTGGCAACTGACTCATATTTATGATGGCTGCAGTGCCACAGGGTCATGTGTTAATCTATTATGACCTTCTTACAAGCAAAGTTAATGGGGAAGCCAGATTCACTTAACAACCATGTTACTAGTTTAATAACTACAGTGATTCACTTAACAACTGTAGCAAGAAAGATCGTAAAATGGGCAAAATTCACCTAACAAATATTTCATTTAGCAACAGAAATTTGAGGCTCAATTGTGGTCATAAGTCGAGGACTACCTTTATATTAAGAATTACATCATGATGATAAGAACAAAATGTAGTTATCTGTATTTGTTATGTAACTTTTATCCTGTGCACATATAGCTGACTAATAGTCCTTTTTAAAATGATCTTTACCTTGCTGCGAAGGGCCAAATCACAGAGCTACCTATGGGACCATTGGGAGGAATATTCTATATATCTGGCAAATGAAGTGGTTGCAGTTTGCCAACTGGGAAAGTCCTATTGAGATAGAAACAGAATATTTGTATGATTAACTACCATAAATTTAAGATAGTAACTCCTGAAGAGCTAGAAAGTATTTTCAGATCTGCCAACCTGACCACTTATTAGATCTGTGTCTCTCCTGGTTAGTAAAGGCCATATGGGAGTTGTAATTGTGTCTACATTTGGGTATCAGCTTTCTTGGCAGGGATGTCTGTGTATTTGCATGTGTCCTGCTACTTAAAAGAGCTAACTTTTAAAAATAAACAAACAAAAGATTGACTTTTATCCATTTTCTTTCCTAGAGTAGGCAATCACAAAACTGCATCTCACTTACTTTGGCCATGTCATGCGGTAGAATTCACTGAAGAAAGCAATTGTGTTGGGAAGAGTTAGTGGTAAAAGGGAATCAGGCTGCCAAAGAACATGATGGCTGGATACCTTCTAAGCTGACACCAGCCAGAGCGTAGAAAAATTCGAAGAAGCAGTGCAAGATCAGAAGATGTGAAGAGATCTGACCCATAGAATCACCAAGAGTTGGACATGACTAAATGGATAACATCAACAACATCAGCGTAAGCAGGAATTTGTTGCATTGAGAAATTCAAAGTGGCCAAAGGCCTTCTGACTTGTTTCCACAATGCCAACCAGGTGCTTCTTAGAAACCTATAACTACAGTGTGAAAATATCTCCCAATTATTTGGCATGAATACACTCCAGGACAGTCAGCTTACTTTAGCCCTTTTCTAGGCAGGATTCAACATACTGACTGCCATTAGATCAAATAGTCTGCATGTGCCAGGACTTTAGCTCAGGATTGGGTGATTTCTCCATGACCTCATAATAAAGAAAAAGAGCAACAGAAATAGGTGCTAGTATGGAGAAAATGCTGGATTTGTGCAAACAACAACTTAAAACAGCTGTAACCAGTCCTAAGGTTTGAATGGTAATTATCTCCAAAATTTGAAAAATAAGGCAAATTAGGTTTCTAAATTACATCTTTGGTTGTATGAGTTGGGCATGAGTCACAAACCAAATCTCAGAAATAGGGTCCCTGAAATCCATCTTTCAGGCAAAAAGTTCTGGGTTTCTCCTTTTTTCAACAATCTCCCTTCCACATCAAAGTTGTCTTTAAAAAAAATACTTATTAGAGAAATGTGAGTTCCTTAACCTCTAAAGCAGGGGTCTTCAAACTTGGCCCTTTTATGACTTGTGGACTTCATCTCCCAGAATTCCTCAGTGTGCCTGGCTGAGGAATTCTGGGAGTTGAAGTCCACAAGTCATAAAAGGGCCAAGTTTGAAGACCCCTTGTCAGCGCTGTGACATTGGATGTCGTCACTCTGACAACTGAGAACCAGCAGCCATTTTTACTTTTGCTTTTAATGTGCCTTTCTATTCTTTTAGAGTTCAGATGTAGAAGGGGGGATGGGGTAAATGCCTGAGGATTTAGTTAGCCATAACAATGTAGAAATGTGGAAACTCAAGGATGTGTTCTGATAAGGTTTTGGCGGGCTGAGGGGCCGGAGAGGAAAGCACTTGTTTTGTGCTAATTGGGGAATGTGATTTATGACAGCTCTTGTGGGGTGGGATTTGTAATTTGTTACTTTGTATCTGGGAGGAGGGGATCTCATTTTTGGGTTCAACTATGTAAGTGCCAATACTTTGTTCCTAAATAAAATGTTCTTTAAGGAAGAATTCTTGCCTTGAAGTTCTTTTACTGGTTTCATCTATTGGAACCATGACACCCCTGCTCTAAAGCAACCAGCTATTTGTCTTTTGTCCCTAACTATGTGCACCTAAGAGAAACCGTGGTAGATTTTTTTCCCCTTTTCCCCAGTGCTCTTTTAGAGCAATTCTTGGCTTTTCAACTCTACATAGACCAAACAATTTCATACACTCTTTACAGTATCTCAACACTCTACACCTTGTATCCTTTATCTTCAGACTTTGGCCTTCACTGTTTGGCAAACAAGCAAGGTCAAAGGCAAGAGATGGGATTATGTTGTTTTATAATGTTTTTTTTAAAGAAATATTTATTGGTCAGCTCTAAGTAGGACCACCACTTTTCCTTCTAATATAGATTCCTTCTTAATTACAGAATATCCCTGATGAAGTTAAATGCTAGCAAGCACCAATAGGACTTTCACTAGAATCATGATATTTTTCCCTCTTCTTCAGGCTTCCTGAATCATGTGTCAGAAATAGCTGCAATTTTGCATTACCCAAAGCCATCCCATTCCATGAATAATACTAACAGCTGCGAGAATATTGAGAGCTCTTACCACACAGATCCTCTAGCTCAGATTTCTCTTAATTTGTGATCTCCACATGTTTAAGATGACAACACTCACTGGCTGGGGCTGATGGGAATTGTGATCCAAACACCTGGAGATAGCAGGTTGGAAAAATATACTGTAGACAGAAGTATCTACTCCCCCCACTCCCACCATTACAACTCTGGCAGATTAAAATAATAAGAATAATGGCAATAAATGACAGCAACTACTTTTACACAATCCTTGTGCTCTTGCATATCCTGTGCAACTGTATGTAATTTCCATACTTTCCACAGCTGGCAAGATTCTGTTTCTTTCATTTCCAGAATCTGAAGCACATTGGTACAAAATCACCGTTATTTTAAAGCAAAGCAGCTAGTCTGTCTCACAATTACCAAGAACAAAACTGATATCAGAGCACAGACTAATTATGGGAACTTTTAGAAAGGATGAAGTCTGGTAGACAGTCTCTTCTGATGGGAGAGGACAGGGATGAGTTTCTCCCCACTGCAAACCCAAATGGCTGTCTGCAGACAAATCCTCCATATATGGCATGCACATATGCACAAAAACCATACCCAGGCCAGCTTGAGTGTTATTCCCACAAGAAAAATTAAACACTCCTAATGCTTTTTTGAAGTGAATTGCGCCCCCCCACCCCCTTCATTTGCATCTTATAATAAGGATGTTATCATTCTAGTTTATAGCTCAGCTCTTTAGTTGTTATCTCTTGGGGGCTTAGATTGCTCCTCTAGAGTTCAATATCTGTCTGTGAACAAAATGTAATCTTTTGAAAGCACTTTCCTTCCGTATTAACATTACAGCTCTGATGAGTTAAAGGTTTTTCACTTTTCCAAGGTGTACAAGGTGTTTTGCTATTCCAGAGCAAGTCCACCAGATAATGGACTTGGTTGTACCACCCTCACTCAGCAGACGTGCTGTGTGAGTCAGCTACAAGCTAAGAAACCCTTTTCACCTCTTTATGCTGAGCCTTAATCTCCAGTGTGCTCGGTCTCTTACATTTAGATTAATTATAAAACCTTGTCACTAAGATATTAAAATGATGTTTAATACACAAAAGGGAATAAAGGAAAGGAAGGGATGGGGGTGGAAAAAGAATGTATCATTTTGCCCCATGACCTATCTCACCAGTTGCATGCAATATTGGCTTCAAGTTTATTTTCTTCCTGCATTTCTGTTTCATAACTATTCTTTTAATGGCACATTGAATAAAGGGCTTTTCCTTTGAAAATGCCCAAGGCCACATCTACCTGAAGTGTATATATATATATGCTATATATTGTCTCCATACCAGCAGAGGTGGTAAATTCAAGAATAACTAATCCATGAAAAGGAAATCATGCAGAAAGGTTATTCTCCCCTCTCAACACCCACTGCTCCTCTTCTCTAAGAATAATTACCTTGGTAAAATAAGAATAATAGTAATAATAATGGGGCCCAACAACATGACCTTACATAGAGAAAAAGAGCCATGAGCATCCAATAAGATCTACGATGAGCATTCAGATCTTGCTCTCTCGCTCTCTTTTTTTAAGAAATCCAAGCTTTCATTGAGTCAGGTTAAAAACTCCAAATGAATATTCAGGAAAATGATGAATATTCAATGAAATTGTGAAAGATCTCCTCATAGTTTCATTCCAAATTTTTTTTATTTGAAATCTACAAAACATCTATCAGAAACTCTTCTCTCTGACCCATCCTCCTCCTCCCCCCCACACCTCATTGTGAACTTGGCTGAAGATTACTTTGAAACCAGTTGATTTAAAGCTTACCATGATTGCAAAGGAAGCAGATTACCCTCTATAGTGAACAGCAGATAGTCATAGAACAGGGATGTCAAACTGGCAGCCCACAGGCTGGATGCGTCATGCACAGGCCATGCCCACCCCAGCTCCACAAAGGCACAAAACGTTGCGATATGTCATATGTCACATGACACAATCAGGTTTAACACCCGTGTCATAAAACACGTCCCTCCAGTGATTGTGGAAATCTACCTTTGTGTAATGTTTGAGAAGCTGTTGAGCTCTAATGGTGATTAAATCTAACCGGCAACTCTTAAATCCACCATTGACCACAAAGTCAATGGATGTATTTATTTCTGGGAATGATAAATAAATAATCTGCCTCAGAGAGTTCTTCTGAAAGTGGATGGAAAGACAGATGCTTGAGAGATGGCAGGGTGCAATAATGTACATAGACTATTACATCATTACCAACAACATTCTCATCTAAATAAAGAACTATATTTGTTTATTAAATTACTGGGCCACCCTTCAGTACAAGCATTCCCCAAATTCATGCAAAATTACACAATTAAAAACAATTCTAATAGTATTTCCAACAATATTACATAGTACATAAAACAGCAGTGATAAAATCAACATGATGTAACAACTAAAAGCTTGGGGAAATATAAAGGAATTTGGCAAAGTCTAGGATTCTATAAATAAGATGGCACCACTTAACAGTTGCCTCTGCAACTTTGTCATTACTTGCTGTGTTTCTTGAGAGTAGGACTAGCTACCATGGAAGTAAACATTCTTTGGGTAGCCAAATCCCAAGAGGTGAAGAGTTTTAAAGATAAATTTCAGTAGTTTGAATTGTGTTTAGAAATTGATCAGGCACATTTCAAGCTATTATGCCTAGCCCTTCTGGAGTCAAGGCTTTAATGAAGGAGGTTTAGCCTTTCCTCCCATGCTGTTTCATAATTCAACCCATCCTCCAGCTCCTGTTGCTCCTAGGTTCTGTTCATTCAGTATCCTGGGCACATGGTGACATAGGTGTACAAAGTACTGTTACATATAATGGGCACCCCTGCATATACACAGAGCTAATTCTTCATATAGTGTGACAGAGTGATTCTTACATGTGCTCCATATGGCCAGATACATAAATAATATATACAACTCTT